AACTCTTTGGACAATCCATCTTGACCAGGGGTTTTCCCAACTTTCAGTGAGTCCAAGGCTTTTTTAATTTCCTCATTTGTAATTGGTGCATCTTGTTCTCCAACAAGTGTCGTGAGAATTGTTTTGGCCAAGTGTTTAGATACTTTTTCTCTTGCTCGTATCACTGATCCTGGAGTAGGTTGTTTTATTTTAGAGGTATAAAGGTTTTTGTAAAAGGTTTTTCCTATTGACAATATCTTTCTTGGGTTTGAAGTAAACCCCTTTTCTCCTCTAAGTTGATGAATGGCGGAGTTTCTCCCTCTTGCTCTAATTTTTTGAAAGAAATACTTCGTCATTTTGTCTCCTTCTTCCCACTCTCTGATTCTTACTCTTAATCTCATTCCCTTTGCTTTCCATGAATTCCAGATGCCCATTTTTTATTTTGCTTTGACTAGAGAATCCTCATATAGAGACTTGTCGGGGTTACTAATGAGGTTTCTTTCTGCTACTTGGATTGTTGTTTCTAGTTCTTTTATGCGCTGGTTCCTTTGGGCTCCTGGTTTTCTGGACGTTATGGATGCTGCTTTGGATAAATTGACTACTATGCTTGGGAAGTCCGTTCCTTCTCTTTCCGATTCTATGCACGCAATGGCTACTGCTTCCTTCATTTGTGGAGTGTCTAATATGAAATTATTTATCTTGAAGAAGCTAGGGCCTTTTTGTATTCCAGGGTTAAAGAGTAGAGTGATGAAAATTGGGCTATGATCTAGACCATTATTGTAAGGCAGTTTGCCTATTTCGACGTTGTGGATTGCTCCTCTGAGTGATTCAGAAACTAGAAAGTAGTCTATTGTTGAGCTTGTTATGTGTTGTGATCTGTTTATTTTCCTGAAGGTGAGTCTTTGTTTTGTGGGCGGGATATTCTAAGGGGTTCTATTAAGTGTCTTTCCAAGATGAGTGTATTCATCTCCTGAGCTTCACTTAACAAGGTTTCTTCCCTATTCATTTGTTGTGAGGATATCCGGTCGTTTAATGGGCCAAGTAACGTGTTCCAATCTCCTACTAGTAGCACGTGTTTTTGTGTGTCGCATTTTGTTGAGATACGTTGTATAAACTCTCTTCTCTGAGTTGAGTCATTGGGGGCACAGACATTTAATAGTTGGAAAGGATTCTTCCTTGTACGTGAAGTGAATTTCAATCCATCCTCCTTCTTCAACGTCTATTTGAAATACCATGATGTTGATTTGGTTGACTGTTTTTGAGTTCCCATTCCAGAGTATGGTTGTTCCTGCTAAGCCAATTCTTGTTGACAGAGCCCATTGACTTGCTTTTACATACTTGAGTTTGGACTGTATTCGGTTGATGGTTGCTTGGTGCTCTGCTGAGTTGGTTAGGTGTGTTTCTTGTATGCATGATATGTCTGGGTTCCTTGAGAACCAGTTGACGTAATTGGTTATATTGTCTCATTTTTCACTATTGGATAAGATTGTTGCTAGTCCGTTAACGTTCCATGACATCACTGTTAACTCAGGCTCCCTCGGCTTGAGTGTGTAATGTCGAATTTGGCCTGCTTGTATGTCAGAGTTATGTGGTTCGGTGATGTCATAGAGGGTTGGTTGTAGGACCAACATTACCTTTCAGTTGCAGTCAGTCCTGATTGAGTCAGCCCTCGTATTTTAGTCGTCCGTTGAGCTCTCTTGCATCATCTTTGAGATTTTGTTTCCTTGGATTGGTTCAGATTATCAGTATGTAACCGTTTGGTATCGGAGTGAACTCTCGGAGAAAGTTCCGACTCAAAGTCACCATCTTGAGCCCATTAGAAAAGGTTGATTTTTTATTGTTTGATTGAATTGATTAGTTCTTTGATTAATTGAAATTTCGTTGTTGTTGCATAAAGGAAAATGTCGAACTTCCGTAAATCCCGGAAATCCGCGAGTTCCACAATTTTTGGAATTCCGTGAATTTCGACATTTTGTGAATTCCGTGATTTTCGAAATTCTTGAATTCCTCGAATTCTGCAAATTTCGGTATTCCATGAATTTCGCGAAATCCGCACGAAATCCGCGACTGCAATTAGGGTTACAGGGTTAGATCACTAATTAGGGTTAGGAAACAGGAAGAAATCAAGTTGGGAGTAATTGGCGAATTTCCCTAATTATTACTAACAGATTGATCTTTCACACCTCTACCCTATTGGACTAATTGCTATAACCCTAACCTTCCCTGCAACAACCTGAAATTTCCAGGACAGATCAGCAAGGCAAGCACTAATGAGCTTGCCCTGAAACCACAGCAGTTAACTGACGTATCGCTAGAGGTTCATTTTTTCTAATATTCGAAAATTTTCGTTTTTGCCACAACGACCCTTTTCATTCCCCACAATTGGCCTTGCTTGCTAGAATTCGGAAAGCCAATTTCGAAAGGTTTGTAAAGGTGTTCAATACCCCGCTCAATATGCCCTTAGGTGTTCTCAGGGCCACACACAGGCCATGACCCCGGTCTGAGGTCATAAAGGCCACGGGGGAGGAAAACCCCGAGTAGGCTTAGGGCCTGTGCGCCCGACAGTTGACCACGGTCAACTGCCCAGCAGCCCAAGAGTCAAAGTCTTCATGCACCCAGCCCAAGCCGTCGGTCAAGACACACACACACTTGTATGCAGGTACCAAGACAACATTCGGACCACGTGAAACTTTTCAACTGTATGTGATCCAGGCCTTCGGCTATGAGTCAATCTGAGCCACCATGGATGGGAGACCTGAGGCCGAACAACTTCGTCAAACATTACATAAGGCCCGGCCTCCAGGAAGTCAACATTCAGTCTTGGTATGCTGCCTTGACGCTCGCTTGATGCTAGCTGGACGTTGGCTTGATGCTAGCTGGACGTCGGCTGGACGCTGGCACTGTGGACGACGACGCGAGACTGCTGCTTGCTTGCATGTTGGCGCTTTCTGCTTCAGCGCCAGCCTCTTCAAACGTGGTGCAAGGCCACACTGTCTTTGACATCGCTGATGTGGCACATGCCACTCTGTCTTCACTGCTGATGTGGCCTTTGCCATGCTGTCTACATTGTTGTTGGGCGCGATAAGGAGGGAGATCGAGATCTGTGGATGATTGAGGGGAGATGGGATACTTACCTGTGGTTGATGTCGATACTGCGCGTTGTTGAAAGTCTCCAACGTCTTCACCAGAGAACTGTGCACGTGGCACTTCGATGTGGTAAGGATTTGTCAAGCTCATTACTGGGTATTGTTTTGCTGACGAGGCGAGGGGAAGCCCGAATAAGGAGTGGGAAATGTTGGGCTACTCTCTTTGTGGTCACTGATGGTTCCTTTCTCTTCCACGTTCTATTCTGTCTATTCCCCCTCCACTTTCTTCATCTAACAGGAAACGAGACATTGTATAAGACATCACATTTATGATTATTGGAGATAGTAACTTCGGCTTCCATCAAGCCAAACAAGAACTGCTCGAAGTGATCAGAGAAAATTTGTTGAGAGCTAGCCAAAAGTTAAAAAAAAAGGTGGGGGCAACTCAAGACAGGGAGGGCAAACTTCGAGCGATCAGGGCCTTTACACAAACATGGTTAGACCCCAATTGTAAAATGGCAGAAGTACAACCCGATGGCAGTCTGTTGTGGAAGAACTGGGCCGTGGAGGACCACAGGTGGACTTACAGATCGCCAAACTGCTTCCTGACACCTCTTCCCGGAAACCCGGACCGAGCGTTGGACGAAGTACCACGAAGCAATAACGACCGGGCCTTATCCCAGGACTGTCGGGAATGTCCCTCTCCATCACCGCCTATGCAATCCCCCCCTCCCTCGTCCCATCCCCTTCCTCCCGCCCCTCTGCCGTTCCCCCCTTTGCCCTCAGCCACGCCTCTCGCAACTCTCGTACCACCCGCTCCACCCCCTTCACAGTCCCCCCCTATCCCGTCCCAGCCGCCCCCTTCTGTCCCGTTGACGCCTCCCTCCCTTCCCTTCGCTCTGTCCCCTCCCCTGTTCTCTCAATCAGCCCTGTGAGTGGCCAGCCAGCCTGAGACTACAACTATGCACCACTATAACTGTACACTGCTAATCTGTCAGATTGGCTATTAATGGAGATGCCGGCCTGTCTTCCAGAGTAGGGGCTGGGAGAGCCGTGATCCAGTTGACACCATATACACAATAATGGACCAGGAAGTCTGTTCAATCAAACAAAAGGTGCAAGGATTAGATTGCGCATTGCTCCCCTGTTGACGCAGGTCCAAGGATCAGATTGCGGTACGCAAAACTTATGAAAAGGCAGAGGTTTCAGGGGTCTGAAAGATCCTCCAAGATTAGATGTTGTATTTATGAACAATGGAGGGTGCTGAATATCAAGGCTCATTGTTGTGGAGAACACTGGATTTTGATGTCGGTACAAGGTTTAAAAAGGTACAAAGGGTTTGACAAAATGGGAGGTTAGAATAAGGGGGGTTGCAGACACCAAGGGTAGGAGTTGAGCCATTACCGCCAGGACGTGCGTAGACATTAAAGCACGGTGGACACTATCCTGGGTGGGGCTAGGTCAGTGGGAATTAAGAGCTTTGCAAATTGGAAGGGTAACATAGGCAGCCCCGAGGGAGAGAAGGAAGCTCGGGAACAACAACTCTAATGGCCATATGCCCAACAAACACTGCTATAAAGATGTATCCAAGGGGACGCTGGACCTGATTTCCAGCAGGTGCTGCTCCCCACAAATAGATGGAGCCTCCCTGACGGTGCTAGATGTGTCTGCTCTTATCAGCACACCTAGCCTCCGATCGGGCTGATTCAAAAAAAAAAATAAAAAAAAAATAAATAAATAAATAAATTATTGGAGATATTGTTTAGAGTTGAGTTACTTTGTATTTCGACATCTGGCGAGTATCTTACAGACTGGGTTCATTACAATTTGGTATCAGAGCATACCTTCTTCGTCGTGATCTACTATTAGGCACCACGTGGCGCCGAGGTGAGTGGGAGGTGTCGCGTGTGTTTGGAGAGAAACACATTTACTTACGTGCGCGATTATTATCGTGAGTCTAGACATTGATTTCCATGCATCTGGTACACTCCCCCTTGAAGATGATGACGTAAACACCTTGAACTGAAGACGGCAACATTGCTTACGTGGCACTTTGTTGCTGACCTGACAATCAGATACTGACGAGAGCATTGTTGGCAGCAGTTGACGTGACGCTGGTGAGAAAGAGATTCGGTATCGAGGCTGTTGACGTGGCATGCTGCTTACGTGGTATAGCGCAAGGGTGTTGACATGGCATCCTAGGATTGGCAGGGTATTGTCTGACATGGCACGTACCTGTGTCGTGACTTACTTGCTGACGTGGCGCTTCACACTCCAGCGGTATTTTGATCTGACGTGGCATACCAGTGGAAGATGAGTTGGCAATTCAGGCATTGCTGATGTGGCATCCCACCTTAAGGCCTTTCTGGCCCTTCAAGTTGGCGTGGCATGTGCTGTGTTAGCATTCCAGGGGTGACACATGACATGTTTGCACGATGTCCTGGGTGAGATGTTGATACTTGCACTTGTGTACAAGCGAGCAGTACAACTTCACGATTATTGTAGTGCCACGTGCCGACCCTTGTGTCTGGCTGCATTGGTTTTGCAGATGGTATAGCCGTAAAGGAAAGAATGCTGACAATTGATTGTTGTTGATTGTGTTGGCTGACTTCCTCACTTGTCTAGCTGTTCTGTGGTTGCCATGCATGCTCACCCGTGTTGTTTTGTTTTGATCACACTAGTTGTGGTTGTGGTACATGTGCACTCTCGTGAGGACGTCATCACACATAGGACAGACAACTCAATTAGAAATAGACAATAAATTTGTTTCTTCTTAATTTTTTGTTATTTATTTCTTGATGTAGGAGATTGCAACTGAGTGTGGCCGTGTAATTTATTATTGTCTTCTTATTATTTATCGTGCGGCATTCACACACGGGGTAACATGACTTATCTCTGGAAATGTATGCATGCCTCCATTCTCACAAGATACATTCCTCTCTTCTTTTTCCCTATCCCTCTCACTGTCTATGCTGATGTAGAAGAGGGGGAGTTAAGAACCCTTGGTCAGATAGATGCGGGAAGGCAAATATTATGAGGCCTTCTCCGCCACTTGCTCGGTGAGATACATGGCGCCAGACCAGAAGTTGAACGACATGTTTACGAACAGTACAATTTGTTCGCTGCAAAAGATAAACTGAAGGCCGTTAGGACTGTCGTTCAGATGCTTGAAACCGGTAATCGAGTCGACGAACTCGTGAACAAATGGTGAATAGCCCTTGATCGTTATGTCGCCGAACATCTGGAGAAGATGGACCAAAAGAGAACAGCGAAAGCAGATGAAGGAAGAAAAAGAACGGAAGAACAAGAGCTGTCTGAATAGGCTATGGAGGAAAACATCAAGCAATTAGAAAACACACTAAGGGGAGAAAGAAAAAAGATAGAAGAACATCGGAGAAAGAAAAAAGAAAAAGAACAACAAAAAAAAATAATAGATGAAATGAGTCAAATATTTAATTATGAAGAAACGGAAACTGATCTTGCATCCGTGTTGCAGGCCATGATGGCTTATCTTGTCCACCTTGAGAGGAAAATAGATAGTAATACTACCGCCTTGGAGACGGTGACCAGACTTCCCAAGGGTAAGAACAAGGTAATGACTGAGGAGGGGGCCAAGAGGGAAGAGGAAAAGAAAGAACCCCATGAGAAACTAATGAAGGATGCAATAAGGAAAGTAACGTCAGAGAGACCCGAGAGTTCTAAGAAAAAACCTGAGAAGTCGGCGGAAAAGGAAGAAGAACCCGTTAATAAGGAGTCGGCCAAAGAAGTAGAGAAGACATATTGTGGGACTCCACTGGTAGACCCCGAAAGCCAAGTGGCTTTCACAACTTCATGTCTAGGGGAAACAACCAAGGAATGGGTATTGCTCGAGGCTAACGCTGCTGGCTTCGAAGATATAGGTGAGTGGGCTAAAACATTCACCTGTCGGGAATTCCTCCAGAATATTAAGGAGAGATTCCTGGACAAGACGGCGGGCGATAAGGCCTTTGATGAGCTTACTCCTATCGGCCAAAAATGTTGGACAACTCTGGATGCACTATCTCACGAAGTTGATCGGTTGTTGCAGGTGCGAGGTCTAAACCTGCAGGACAATCAAATCCTTTGTATCTTTTCGCGATCTTTGTCAGAACCCATCCGAGGACATCTCGTGGCTAAAGCCAAACCCGGTAAGTATAACTACAGACAGTTTTGTGATCTCACGCTCCAAAGGGAGCAAATGTTTGCTTAGGTAAAAGGAACGTATGCATGTGCATGTGTTGTAAAAAGTGGTAAGGTCAGCGGCTATGGTAAGTGAATCCTGTGGCGGCAAAAGCGACATGACCACACAGTGGAAAAGTTACCTCTGGATGAGACTAAGGGCGGAGGTACAAACAATAGTGAGTCAGGAAAGGGTGACATTGTTGTTGTGATGGCCAACAAGGGTGGCACCAAAACTTGGAACAAGAAGAAGAGGCCACGCTCCTTCCCCGAGCACCTTGCCATTGCATCCGGAAAACCTTGGGAGGAGACGGGTCTGTCACGAGAAGAGTGGCAGAAGAGAATGGATAACAGGCAATGCTTGAAGTGCGACATTGCAGGGCAGGTTATAGCATGTGCCCCCTCAATTGAAACCCAAAAGGGAGCAACCAGTAGAAGTAGCATCTACCCGTACTGAGTTTAGGGTTTTAGACAAAGGTAAGGCGCCAATAACCCCTTTCAACCCCTCGACTCATATGGCAGAGGATGACTCTTCTTCGGCCCGTCGTCCAGAACACCCTGATATTATTCTATGTTCTGTCTCCCTAGATGATTCCCTTGACAAACTCGGTAATGAGCTTATAGCTCTTAGGAGTTTGTGGGCTAGTAAAGCTAAGTCTAAGGGTGATCGCAAATATTGAGATTGCAAATACGCGAGTAGGTGCTCTACAAGACCAGGATTGATGCGGTCTTACACCTTAGAAAAGGCAATTCGTAAGTTGCACCTAGGAATTAAGGTAAGAGACTTACGTAAACCTATCACGTCTATGTTGGTTGATAAGAGCACGATCAATGACTCTCAATATGTCGATCATGTTAAACGCTATTTCAGGACTTAGGAAGGAAAAAAAATCTTACACGAAGTATCCTTCATAATTGAAAAGAACCTACCCTTTAACATGATTCTGGGAATGGATTGGCATGAAGAAGTCGACCCGGAAGTTCAGTTCAAAGAGAAGACTGTAAAGTTAAAGGACGGAAAGTCCGAACTTCACGCAATTAAATTGTATCACAAGTTTGGCTCTGACTCGTCATTGTGCTTCTATTGTATGAGTTATCCAGCCTCCGATTTATGGTCTTAAAGAAGAAGTTGGATCAGGATGTAATGATGGTGTTCGTTAAGCGAGTAGGAAAATGTTCCTCATCCTACCCTCCTTCTATTGAGAAATTACTTGATGAGTATAAGGACTTGCAGACTGAGCCAACGGGAATCACTAAGCATGCTATCAAGCACACGATTCAGATTATACTCTATAGTAAAATTCCCAAGGGTCCCATCTATCATATATCTCTTAGGGAGTTTTATGAATTAAGGAAGCAACTAAAAGAACTAACTGAAAAAGGATGGATTCGTTCCAGCTCATCTCCTTATGGTGCTCTTGTCTTATTTTGTACCCAAAAAGGAGGGTGAACTTAGATTATGCATTGATTATCGTGGGTTGAATCGTCATTGTCAAGAACACGGAACCACTTTTACACATTGACGACTTGTTGGACGAATTGCAGGGATGCAGGTACTTTAGTAAGATCGATCTCAAGTTAGGTTACCACCAGATTGAGGTGGCTCCGGAGGATCAACACAAGACAACATTCCGAACCAGGTATGGTTACTATGAGTTCGTGATTGTGCCCTTCAGATTGACTAATGCTCCTGCCACCTTTCAAAGGTCCATGAATGAACTATTTCGACAATGGATGGATCGGTTCGTAGTTGTCTATCTTGATAATATCCTCATGTATAGCAAAACATTTGAGGATCATGAGAAACACATACGAATGGTTCTTCAAAAGTTGAGCGAGGGCAACTTCAAACTGAATCCTAAGAAGTCGGAGCTCGCTAAGCCTGAAGTGTTATACTTAGGGCATATAGTAAACGAAGAAGGACTAAGGCCCGAAGAGAAGAAGATAACAACAATTTGAGATTGGCCCCAACCTAACACTGTCATGAAGCTCATATTTTTCCAAGGACTTGCTAGTTATTACAAGAACTTTGTTAATTGTGCCGACGAGGGTGTCAATAAGTCTCTCAAGAGAGGTTCGTACATCCTCACAGTTTTGCGACGAACACTCCTCTTTCCTCTCCTCACACCCTCAAGAGCAACACTTAGAAGTTTCTCTCTTCTCTCTCTCTCTCTCTCTCTCTCTCTCTCTCTCTCTCTCTCTCTCTCTCTCTCTCTCTC